CGCGATTATTTCCTTGATATATATATATATATATATATATATATATATATACGAAAGTTGCATGCAACTGTAGAGCAGGAAAGGCGGCGGCGGCTCAATTTCAGAAGCCGTCGAATGTCACTACCAAAAAAGTGCGCACTGCGGAGGCGTTCTATCTGTGTCGTAGACGTGAACAGACCACCGTGCATTACTCGAAAATTAGGCTACGCTGCACACCTTATTTTATGGAATCAGTCGCTTTCAGATGCTCAGTTTTGTCGGGTCAATAAATCTCAGATGTTGACAGTTCAGATTTTTCGCCATCTCTAACTTTTGGAGTTTGTGCACATTTTACTACCCATCAGTGATTTTGTTTGGCTGGGTTGCTGACAAAATTAAGACTATATGGACAGGCAGAGAAGGGTTTGGGGAAAGAAAAATGCCTCATTTATCCCATAAAGAACTATTTTCCACTTTGGAATGCACTTTTGATGCGGACAAAGCCCCCACCGTCACACTCGTTATTATCAAAATGCGGGTACTTAAATGACTGTCGACCGGCGTTTTGACCAGCAATTCAAATTGCATTAAACGCAGTGATCTTCCACCCTTCAAGACTGCATAGCTAGCTTTTAATTCTTGTTTTGTTCAGCTTTCACAGCAAGAGATAAAACCCAAGCACTTACCCATACTCACGGAGCGTCAGCACAATCCTTAAGCTTGTCTCCAACTAACTGTGTTGCGTCCTACAGCGTACTCTGCGGACTTTACACTTTCCGTTTGGCCTTTGAGCTAACGAGACGGTATTCGAAAAATGCGCTGCTTCTTGGACTTTCAGTTTTTTTTGTGAGTTCTGAAGGTGTTAGCAGTGATCCCTCGAGTGAAGACGTGTTATCATTTTCCCATTACTTTCGTATAACTGCTGTCAGTTTTTGGCTGAGGGAATAGTAAAATTCCGAATGTTGCACCATTTCTACAGGAAATTTTGCTATCCTCTTCTCGGACACTAAGAGGCATAACTTGTACTCTATAACATACATTACGATTCATGTGCTATACGCACTTAGGGTTTGCCACAAGTTTGATGGTATGTGTGTATCAAAATGTTAAAAAAACTTTGGAATCTCTTTCATTGGAGACTAAATAGATTAAAAGGCTTAAATTTATATTCAAGTGAAGGTCGTATTTGAAAACATAGGTCAATTACATAACCGTGTTTAGACTAAACCATTTGATGCCTTCGGAGACGAGGAGAAGGTGCTTTATTTAGAGAAGGACATTTTGGATTTTTTAAAATGAGAATTGTTCCGATCATCAGGGTTAAACCGTTAAAGAAGGATAAACAATTATTTATACAAAATGTCTGGGAGCATCGAGATAGTATGTCAGATATGAGCTTCTGTATTTGAGTCTCAATATTAACCAGCAGGCGCGGCACGAACGGCAATGTCTGAGACGTGGTATATTAGAAGCTATCACGTGTCAGAGTGTCTAATTCGCAACACTTAAATGCGAATAAATTGAATGAACGGCGCTGTTAACACTTTCAACAGTCAATTTTTCGCTTTTACTGACCAAAAAGTATACTTTTCATGGCAAAAGTAACCTCTCTATATAATCTTGTGATAAAAAGAGCAAAATATGAACTTTGTTATCCGTTTTTTCTGAAGCTGGAATTGCAGGTTCATGGGCTAAAATCTGGCTCACTGGAAAGCTATCTGTGTGCTGTTGGTAGACCATGGCAGGCAGTGGTCATACAGACGCGCTTACATATCTTTGCTCTCCAGGGTAATTGCCAAGAGGTTAAAGTATGTAGACAACCGTTGTGAATAGCACATGTCTTTCTTATCATCGCCGTGCCTTGTCGCCAGGACTCTTTACTCAAGGTCACCCTTCTTCAGACGCTGGTTTATTTTCTCTGGTCTACTGCTATGCATGCCTTTGCCCTACTCGTAAATCTCAGATATTCATGCGTTCGGGCTCTTTTTTTACCTTTCCCGTCTAGTCGACTGAACATGCAAACGTGGCCAAATAAGTGTCCCCTCATGCTCCTCCAAGTGGAGCGCGACAGTCCCATCGTCCAGTCTCTCAAGCCACCAATTCCGCACATTCCCCTTCAGCTCTCCTTCGAGGTGAGTCCTTTTTTCCGTTTCCTACCTCTTTTTCCTGTTTTTTTTTGGAGTAAGTGTGATACCGAACTCCACTCTGATTCACTTTCTAACACACAGAGGAGAGAACGCCGGAGCTGTACTTCTCCGCCTGTTCGTGGAGAGTTTCGTGTTTTTATTGAACGGGAATAGTCTGCTTAGGGCGCATCTAAAGTAAATTGTGGGTTTATTATCCATCAGGAGATCCCTCACTTGATAGACGGGCTACCATCCGAGCGCGTGATGGAAACTGGAGTACCTGTAGGGCGTGGTTGCTCTGCTGTCGCACGCCTACCGATTAGCATGAATTTTTTCGGGACCCATTATCCGCCTTCTCATCGCACTCAAAGTCGTCATTGCACACTAACCAAACGCGGCCCTCTCCTGAGGTCACGCGACACCCATTGCCATGACAAGAAACTTCAGAAGTCAAACTAATTAAAAGTAGTCTTCCGTGAATCATCTAACATTGGAAGATAGCATATACAGCAGAATTTAATGGCACCATAAACTTCGCCAGCGCTCATCAGCTGCGTCCTCTGGCTGCGTAAATTGAGTAACGAA